GTCTGCTTTCTCGCCACATACCACTCTGATGGGTCAACTGAATTCCTGCAGTTCTTCTCTTTCAGATTTGCGTTGCTTTCTAAATAAAATGGTAAAAACTCACTGGTTCTCCTTGTGGTTCTGCATGTAGGTCAAAATAACTACAGAACAATATCAAAGAATCATCTGGCCAGTCTGACCCAGCGGAAACTCCCTCGGGTCCTTGTGATGTGAATCACTTCATCACCACAATCAATTAATCCACTATTTAGTAAAGTCGTATAGATCAGCGGATGGAGCAGTTTACTGTGATGTTCCAGGAGCTGCTTAACAGAAATGTTCCCCCAGGGTCTACCCCCTCTATAGCCGGTGCAACTGAAGTTCCCGTAGGAACTCCTCCCGCAACTTCTCATCTTAATTTTGCCATCTGCCGCACACCTGAGCCTTATGTGTGGGAAGCTGGATGGTGTTGTGAAATCCTGTTACTATGTTCACAAGTTTTCTGTCAATCCCCCAGGTCTTAAATTTTTCCCTGCTTCTGCACAGCTGTTTCTCATTGATTGCTGTTTAACAGGGTTTTGCTGAACTGCAATCATAGGACTCAGCTGTGCTAAAGCACGGAAACCTCTAAAACCTGCAGGACAGCGCCCCCCGAGGACCGACTTTGGGGGTGCCTAATCGAGAGGAAGCAATGGCGATTGGCCGTACCTGGTTGTCATCTGAGGAACGACAAAGTCTGATGAAAACTGGACTCCCTGTGTTGCAGTGGATGTGGCCACTTCATTTCTTCCTGCCCAAAGCAGCTAAAAGGAACGGCCCCCTGGTAAGGAAAGGACCAGTGGGCAGTTGGAAGACCAGACCCTTCCGCATGACATCACCCTGCTCTTTCCTACTGAATCAACCATTTCCCTCTTTTGCTTTTAATTAATTTTGGTTGTGAACAAAGCCTTACAGATAACAATTTGGCGGAAAAAATTACTTCTTCCTGTTGTACACCTACCTGAACAACTTCATGTCTTGGCTCCAGATGGAAGTCGTCTGCATGTACTCACTCACCAAACTGAACCAGTTTAACTTTTGGTTTGAGGCAATCAAGTTGAAGTAATTTTTTGTTTTCTATTCACCCCAATCTTTCATTGTTTTAGGGTGATCTTCGCTCACCGTTGATAATACTCTCGTTAACTGGAAACACAATAGAGTGGAGTTATGGAGTACCCACTGTCCGTCAAACTATATACAGTTGGCCGTGTCTCCAGTCTTAAATTCTCAAGAACAGGAAACAGCAATATATCTCTCCCTGGTTCTTACCCCAGTACCTTGACCTTCATCTGGTTTTCAATAAGTCCAAGGCTCTGTCTCTCCTGCCTCCCTCACCGCCCATATGACTGTGATAATGAGCTAGTTTCTGGAGATCTTTCAACGTCCAGTAGTTTGTTTAATTTGTCCAAACCCGGGACAGAGAGTAGGGAAAAGTACACAAACAAGTTGCTAGCTGCTTTTTTAACCATAGAATCAATTTTGATAGCTTAGAAAAATATTGCATTATACAGTTATATTGCAATATCGTGATATTATCACATGTGACCCAAGTATCGGGACACGTATTGACAGCCATGCTCACCCCTACGGTCAAGGCAATACTCCAGTGACCAGGAACCCAATATCTCAACCTTCATTCAACCTTCCTACATTGTGCCTTATCGTCGGAAATAAAGAATCAAGTCTTGGAGGCTCAGTGGTACGAACTTGACCTTGGCACTGAACTTCAAAACCGGGTTAATGTTCCTGCTTCCATTAGATACCACCTCAGTCATTGGGACCACGTGGCACAAATCTCCTTCCAACTTGGAATCAACTGAACTCTCACACTCCTTAAACAAAATTTCTGGTGGCCTACAATATATAAGGATGTTAAAAGTTATGGTCTAGACTGTCCAGTGTGTGCCAGCAACAAAGTTAGTCACCAGCCTCCCAGTGGTCTTCTTAAACGACTGCATATCCCTGCATAACCAACGTCAATGGTCTCATATTGGCTTGGACTTCATTACTGGACTATAACCATCTATGGGTTTCACCACCATCCTCACTATAATTGACTGCTTCTCCAAAGCCTGCCACCTCATCCCTCTTCGTCGACTTTCATTCTGCCTTAAGAATGAAAATTCCTGGAAATTCCTCAATAAATCCAGTTGAACAGGAGTCTGCAATTTACGTCCCGGGTCTGGAAGGAGTTTTGTGCTTCTTTGGGGGCCAAGACTGCTCTCATTTCAGGTTTTCACCAAAAACAAATGGTCAATCTGAATTAAAAAACCAGGAGCTTGAGGCATCCCTTCCCTGTCTCTGTTGGTCACACCCATCATCATTGAGTACTCGGTTGCCTTTCGTCGAATATGCACGCAACTGTCTCCATTTTGGTCCTCCCTACGCTATCAACCTCCCTGTTTCCATCTGACCAGCAGGACATTGCAGTTACCTCTGTCAAACACCACATTTGGTGCTGCAGATAGTTCTGGAAGCTGACTTTTCCTGCCCTGAACTGGTCGGTGGAGATAAATTTACATCTGGCTATTTGAAAGAGAATTTTTTTCTCCACAGGACTCACCTGCACAAAAAGTTTGGCTATCAAATTGTGACATTAGCCAAAAGGCTTCTTAACACAAACTCTATCCCAGATTCATCAGTCCATTTAAAATCCAGGCAGTGCTCAGTTGATCTGCGGTACGCAAAAAAAAAAATCTCTCTTTGCCGGTTGATTACTCCTGATGATTTTCCTGCCAGAGACCTAAACCAGCAATATATTTTTCATTGAAATTTGTCTTCTTATGAATATCTATTAATGTGGACTTTTTTATTGTTCCAGTTAATCTCAGTTTGTTTTTGATCTTCATGTAAAAGGCTTTACCTGTGTGCAGCAGTTCTTAGTCTTCATCACCTGCCTGCCTGCTTTCTAGCACGGTGTGTCTTCAAGTACCAACATTGTCGGATCTCACTCATATTCTCCAGGACTTTGGAGATACAGTCTGCAAAGCCCACTGAATCAAACCTCTACAGATCACTGCTACCTCCGCTTTATCTCTCAATTAAGCTAATAAATCAGTCAACAGTTGTCATTAACCAACTCCTTCCTGATCAGTCTGCTTTCTCCCCTCAGACCAACAAGAAAGTTAAACTGATTTACTGCAGGTCTCCGCTTCCAGATTATTGTATTTTGTAAAAGGTTCAAACTCACCGGTTCTCTTTGCGATTCTGCGTGTTGGTCACAAAACTACAAACCTACATGACAATTACTTCCAATTGACTCTGTAAGCTTTATCTGCAATCGTCCTCATTCTAGAGCATACTAAAAAATAGTGTGTTCCGCTCTGAGGTAAATATGTTTGTACAAGTTGGAGGAATTTAAGGGTTGGACCCTAATTAGGCTGCAGGCGGCTGCCTCGTTACCTTCATCTTGAAGCGACTGAGAGATGTGTTGATTGAACTTTAGTTCATTGAGTTTGCGTGAGATGCTTTACATCATGAAGGTGAGCAATGAGCTGGTTTCATTTACACACACACACTCGCATGCATCTACTTAGGAGCTTGTTTCTGTCACGGGTAGACAGGCTCCCTGCTTGTTCTCTGCTGGATGTTTGACCCAGTTCACTCTCTACAGAAACACAACAGGAGGATGCCACATGACCTTTAACTCCCATCATCTGTCAGGCTATGAACATGCATACTTTTATGTTTGCCAGTTAGATCCCATAATGGTTAAAATATGACTTTTACCTCGACTACTTCTTTACCTCTATCCATCCATTCGTCCCCCGTTTTCAGATCAGTTTTCTGACCTAATGGTCCTAGAGGGAAAACCTTCTGCCTCTAAACCCTGTGCAGCTGCCCACAGGGGAATCACAGTGTTTCCCTAATTTGCATGGGAATGCAGCCAGGAGTTGTCATGATCAGCAGCAAAAAATTATCTCCTTTGGCTCCATTTGATATTCGGTTTTAGGATACAATCTCTGTGTTTTGCAACAGAGGGGATGTTATTGGCTACATCTAGAAATGTCCTCCAGAGAGTGAAAGCCAGGATGGGAGTCAGATTCTCTTAGGATGATGGATGGACAGGGACAGACAGATGGATGAATTAAAGTTGTCACTATTTCTATTTTTATTGAAATAATGTTACCAATGATAAAAGAAAGCAATGATTTAACTCTTTTTACTTTCTCCTTTTTTCTTTGGAAGATTTTTTCATTTTATCAAAACATCTGTTTTAACGTGAAAAACGCCTTGTGCAGATGTTAGGTTATATTTTAAGTTACTAAGGATGATTTTTTTGGGGGGGTTTAAGTTCCAATTTCTTGATGTTGTTAAGGTTTTCTTTAAACTAACGACAGCTCAGCTCTGTAGATAGATTTCAGCTTTCCAATGTCTGCTGATACCTCTCTGCTTTGTTTGAGGCAATGATCTGTCAGACAGAACACGTTCTAGAAAGTTTGTACACATCCTGTGTGAAAGGTTTACATTTAGATGGGCTTCGGATGGAGACGCACTGATATGAATGTTGTTTATTCTGATCTCCGGTTTTAGTGAAGCTTTAACCTGCCAACAGAGATTTGAGCCCCCCCTGCTTTATTTGTATGATGAAAAAAAAGCATTTAGATTTAACTTTGTCTTGAGTTGCATGTTTAGCTCAGCTGGAGCAACTGAAACAGAAGTCTTTTGTATTCACTTGTTTCATAAAATAGAGTTTTAAAGGAGCTAATGTTTTGTACTTTGTTCAGCCTTCCCGTTATCTGTTCATAGTGTTGCTCTCTCTTATTCTCTGTCTTCCTGAATTTATTGAAGTCATGTCATAAAATAATTTCCATGTTTTCTCAGATTACGCCTTACACACCTGTTTATTGTCATTATTTTTTTATTTATACTGGTATGTGTTACAATCAGGCGGATATCTCTTGTATTACAATATATGGTGTAATGCAGCTGGTTCTAGATATCATTCAAGTTTTAAAGTCTCCTTTCTTTTTTTTTTCTAGTGTGTGGACGGCGTGTCGGGGGGAGACTCGTCCCTGAAACGGGTGGCAGTGGTGGAGGATTTTTTCGATATTATATATGCCATGCACGTTGAGCTCGGCACTGACCCTGGAAAAACACCAAAACACGCTGGTCAGAAGAAAACCTACAAAGCTGTGAGTGGTTTTACCTCTGTGGGAGGTTTTGTCTATTTCAGATTAGATGTTTCTTTCTGTTTCCTTTGAATGGCTGTGTTAATAAAAAAACAAAACAAAACAAAAAACATCTCCATCAGATGCAACATGTAGTCATGCCTTAAGATTCTGCTGTGAAGCAAAAGTTTAAGCAGATAAGAATGAGAGGAATTCAATGCAAAATGATCAGCTCGCTTGTATATGTCTATCAGAGGTCAAACTGTGAATCAGTCCAGCAGAAATTTTAATCTTGTGTTACTAATGGTTCCCTCAAAACAAATGGTTTTAACCATTTCCATTTCTTATAAAAACAGCATTGAATATTAGAAACTGCTGGTGAGAAGGGTACAACTGTGGAACCCGATTTGTTCAAAAAATCTGATGTACACCTGTGAAAGTGAACATCAGATTTCACCTGTTCAGATGCAGGCGTCATGTCATCCAACAAATCCTATGCACCAAAGAAGGTGCCGAAGCTTAATGCCACCAGTGCAGAGCTTGCTCAGCACCCGGTGTTCTGCATGCACAGAGACGTAAAGATGTTTGAAAGAAAGATGACAAACATCTCAGAAACTCGTTGTCAGGGAAAACACCAAATATGGACTTACACTGTGGAGTAAGAGCCAGAAAATACATTAGAAGGCTGGTGCAAATTTCCTATAGTTAATTAAACGTCCTACTGATTGATAATAAACATTAATTTATCAGTTTACCACTTGAAGATTGTGCCTAGATAAAAAATTATTAAAAATGTTTTTACATAAAAAAAATATGTATATTTATAGTTTTGATCCGTTTCAAATCCAATAAAATTCCCAGTTAGCAATAAATTAAATCATAAGCCCAACAGGTTACTAAGAATGCATCTAATCAGTTTGCATATTTATCCTAAACTAAACATAAACAGTCTGTTGTCAGCCACTCTGTTAGATAGTTGCTAATACTGCTCTCTTCTGGTTAAACTGTGTATGTGCAGCCTCCTCAGGGACGACAAACTCCTGAGGGAGGAATTAACATTATTTTCATTGTGGTAAACATACTGAGTATAAAAAGAATAAAGCTGTGATGTCAACAGTACCTAATTTTTCACAGTGATTATTTTTTTCATTTATTTAGCTGCAAATCTCTTCAAATTTACCAAAAGTCCTGGAAGAAATACATAGAAATATTTTTTTAATTGTCTCTGTTTAAAACCTGATTCCTCTAGAATATTTTCATAAAAACAAAAAACAAAAAAAAGATTAGATTGTCCAAATGAAACTTCTGTCTTCCTTTTACCTGTGATTCCTCAGATAGCTGAGACGTACGCCTTTCTGCCGCGGGAGGCGGTGACACGTTTCCTGATGAGCTGTGGGGAGTGTCAGAAGCGGATGCACATCAGTCCCGCAGGACAGGACTTCAAAGGTACGACCTCACAAAGTAGAAAATCCCCCCCAGATGGAGCATATAGAGCTGCAAAGACATTACTGTAGTTTTTAGATATTTGTCGTGTCCAACACTGAAACATCAAAGGCCTTAATAGATGCAGCATTTGATAGGATATCATATTCTATATTTTATATACAATACTTAGAGGCTTATTTTCATATATGACAATAATGACTAAATTCCACGAGGATGGAAAAACGTATCTGAAACAATGTGGCCATAAGTAAATCCTGAATTAATTGTGATTATCTCAGCATTATTCCACTATCGCCACCCAGCAATGATTACACCTTCTCCCCTGTCTGACGACATGAAGTAGGCTGAAATATCTCAGATATTCATCTTGAAATCAAAAGACATTCTGAATATCTGAACTTGGTTTTGGAAGGAGACGGGTTTTATTTGTATTCCAGCCTGGTTTCCAGTGTTTCTGCATACATCGTACAGTTCTTAGGATTTATGAGAAAATGTTTAATAGAAAACATTTGGGACATGTTGGCTCTTCTGCTGTTTTAACGGCCCGTCCTTAAGGCTCACCTGAGTTGCTAAGTGGGGATGCTGTTTTTATATGCATTCTTGTTTAATATTCTCTATCATGCAGCTTTGTTACCCTCAGTTTTCAGTGTTTTTTTTTTTCTCGGTTTCCCTGCCCTCAGCTCCCTCTCTGCACCCATCCTGCCTTACCCCTCCAGCTTATCCATCTCTGGTTGTGTTCCCTCTTTTTGACATCTGTCCCTCCCAGTCTCCTCTATCCCTGAATCTGTCTTCCAGCTGCTCTTTGTGTACTCCTCTCTCAGCAACCCCCCACCCCACCCCAAAAAAAAGCTTCAAGGCTTCCAGTGCCATTACATTTTCCTGCAATTCCTTCGTCCCGCTTCCTCCCTCCTGTCATTATGTCTACCCTTCCCTGTACCCTCTCTCCATCCCATCCCCCCCAGTGCATCCTCATCCCTCATTAGATAAAGGAGTCATTGGAGTGTCCCGTCTCTCTCCTCAATTAGCCTAATTAATGGCTTTTAACAATGAAAATGGTCCAGAAAACAAGCTCATTTTCCAGAGGGTTGGAAGCGGCGCTGTCGTAAGGTTTAGGGGATAAAAGGACAGAGGAGCTGACATTAAATCAGACTTTGGAGGAATGTAGAGGCAACTGGATTACATATTTGGTGAATACAATAATTTATCACTGTTTGCTTAAAAGTTCAAAGTTAATTTTGTTGTTTTTTTGTTTTGTGTGGGCAGCTCAGCTTTCCCAAGACTGTTAAACGCCTGATTAATTGGAATGAGTTTATACCTGAAATGATAAAACACACACACACAGAAACATTGTGTGCCACTCAGACTAAGGGAGCAGCTAATTACCTTCAAACACTGTGGGGGCTCCCACTTACACACCCACACACACATCTACCCATTCACCCATCCTCCCCCCCTTTATCACTGTGCAGAGGGTCTTTCTCTAAAGTTCAGCTGTGAATTATTAAATGCAATTAATCAGGGTGGACCGGGGTCCTGTTTAATTGATACTGGCGGCAGGCTGTGAAAGGCGGAGTGTGTCTGTCCACGTGAGGGGACAATGTCCCACTTTATTAATTTCCCTGTCATCAATCATAAACCTTAAAAAATTCAGCTTAAATTGACCACAGTGAAGGATAATGACAGGTTCTGGAATAAACGTGACTTAATGCAAACATGCAGCAAATGTTACGGAGTAATTCAGACCATGTCCTCCTGTTTGGGTCTCAGCAGCAGCTCTGCAGGGTCCTCTAGTGTCTACTTTCAGACAAACATGTTGTGGAAGCTCCATCTACTGTAGTAAAGGACGACACAAAAATGAAAATATTTGTATGTCCAGTCGCGTTAAGCAGCTAGAGAATCCCTGAGGAGGACAACATTCCTTCCTGGACGGGAAACGGAGCTAGAATCAAAAACCTTTACATTCATAATAAAACCATAATCACTTTCTTTATATCAGAATGCAAAATAAAGGCACAGACTACAATTCAAATCACTTAAGCATCCTTAGATGACCCCCCACAACCTGTTTTTATGTCTGTCTTAGCTTCATAATTCCAATGTATTTATTCCCACCCCTTACCCCAATGAATCTCCTGTGCCGCTCAGATGCGGCACCACCTCTTATACCCAAGAAGGGCAAAAGTAAAACTAAAAATATTAAATATTTAAAAGCCTTTAAAGGGGCCTAGTCAAATACTATGAAAAAAAAAATCGCCCAAAAACAAATCTCTCCAAGCATTTATACTTTTAGTGTTTACTTTGTCCTTTTTTAACTTTAAAAATACTTTTTGCACCAGGCGTGATCAGCAGACGTTAACATTGTTGCATGCCATTTTCCAGCAGCTTATGTTATTGAAGTGGAAACAAACAATGTAAAATATAATATGTATTTCATAAAGTATAAACTTTAGAATAGCAGTGCTAGTATTAGTGTTAGTAAGGTAGTGTACTCACACATCCATCAACTTGGCAGAGAAATCTGAATGCTTCTGCAGCTCCTACTTCATTGAAAACCATTGGTGTTGTATTCAGAGCGCTACTCTTGTATTATCACTTTTGGCATCTAATAATCTTTTGTATTTTTCACACTTGATGTTGGACTTCCACTTTTACTTTTTTGCACCTTTGCTGAACGTTGCTGCGCGCTCGGTTCCGTTCCTTTTTTACCCACTGTGCACAACGTATCTCCAGTCACAGGAGGTTGTGATGATAAATATATGAAAAGAGCTTTGTTTACTAAAAACTGGGACAAAAAAAAACCCCAATAAAAAACAAAAACTATAGAGCAGAAAAATACATTTCTAAAGTCATAGTAGGTGACTCGGCCCCTCAAACTTCTTAGACAAATTGAAAACGTTTGTAAAAGATAGAAGCAAGAAATAAGGAGCATCATAAAGGCATGTAAGGAAGGAATTATCTGTTTTAGCATATTATTGTAAAATGATTTTTCATGTTGTTTTTCTCATGTTACAGTTTTAATCAGAGGTCATCTTAGATTTTCTCTAAGGATAGCTCTGCTCAACTTTTGGAATATGAAAAGGCTGAAAGAGGCTGAAGGTATTTGAGGCAAAATACTGAGTTATATTATAAGGTATACAAAATATTTACTTAATTTTCCCTGAGATCACTTGATTCCTACATTGTCTGGAAGAGCCTGGAAACAAAACCTTAATTAATACATAGAAAGCTGTTATCCAACCAGAACTGTCCATCCAAAAAACCACATTTGAGAACAAATTTTTTTCGTTTGAAAGAATTAATCATCGATACATATTTTAAAGCAATGTTGCAGAACTTTGGCCAAACCCTGCAGTATTTCCACTACATTCTGCCTGTTAAAGGCCTTCCACAGCATCCCAGTCAGATTTGACATGAATCTCAATGAGTTGCCTTGCCTTTCACTTTGTTGTTGATACATATAAGGGACAATATTAATATGGCCTAGTTTAAGTACAGACTCTGACTTGGCCATTGTACACTTTTATACGTTAATTTCTGGCCCATCGGGTTGTGCACTTCAGTCAATTGGCTCTAAGAACAACCTCAGTACTTCCTAAACTTAAGGCAGCTCTTCTGTTTCCTGACTTTTATTACTTGGTGAACTAATAATCAGTTTATCCAAAATGACAGGAAACAAAAGAGCCACCTTAAGTTTAGGAGGTAGTGGAGCTGTGTATATAGCCCATTATAGAAAGCATTCCTCGTGTGGGGGGGGGACAGAATATTTTTTTAGGTAGAAAATTAAAAACCAAGTTTCTGAGCCTAAAATTCTCAAACAACCGGATTGATTTTTACACAAGAAGTCAGGCAGAGATATCTTTTTTTTTTTCTAAGGTAATGACGTAAATTCCGGGAATCATGCATCTTACACCTCCATATATTTAAGGATTTTATTCAAGACATTTATGGGTTTAGTGATAGCTGTGTTAATCCTCAGTAGTTGTTTTAATGTCAATGGTCATGCCTACATTTCCAAATGAAGTTAGATGCACAGAGATCCTTCATGTTTTGCTACATATTCTGAGTTTTGCAGAGTTTTAACCTTCTACCACTGCTAAAGGGGCATGTCCTGTTCATTTTATTCTGTTTTATCCAAACATGTTTCTTCTTTATTAACTGTTTTGTGGCCCACTGTTACTGAATACGAGTTTCTCCTGTTTTTCTCACCAGAAAACAACAGACCCGCTTCTCTGGTTTCAGAGGTGATAGACTTCAATGTGCCTCTCACCACCACCTACATGAAACAGATGAAGCTGCATTTTATGAACAACAACAACAAGGTACCGCCCCGTTTCTGGTTCTGTTAATGATGTGTGGTTCAGCAGCTTTGCTCATGAGCCAACTTCAGGTTTATGTGTGTTCTGCTGTTTCTGTATACACTGAGTCAATCTGAGCTGCCCTAAGAGCGGGTCAGCGTAGATCCTAGATTTAGTGTGAGCTTCTGAACCAGCAGCGTTTCGACAGTAAACTCAGGGACTGTTTGTGACAGATGAGTGGGAAGAAACCAGGAGAATCGCTGATGCCCTGGTAGAAGAAAAAAACTCTCACTCCTCTCTTTAAACCACCCAGAAGAAAAATTGGTGCTTTAATCCTATTCCTAATGCATGTTTTATTATTTTACTTTAAACACCAAGTTTACAGGATGTGAGTCACATGAGAAAATAGTTTAACAACTAATTCTACAAAAATTAAAACGTCCTTCTAAAGAGACTGAAACAGTGATGCCAATTTGTTCATTTTCACTTCAGACTGCAGGATTTAAAGGAGAAATATGGAAACGCAGATCAATGTTTTCAGTCTTTTTTCTTACATGGAGTCTGAGAATTCTGCATTTTTCCAGTGCAGGCTGCATGAATTCAGACGCGGCTTTAGCAAGGAGAACAGAAAACCGATCAGAGCCATTTCACAGACCAGTCCATGCATGCTGCACCATGACCATGCTTCTTTTCTAGCTAGTAAATGACAGCTATAAAACATTGTTGTGTATAACCGGGAACCATTTTTGGCTATTTTATTTGGTAGATTTGGTAATCTGGGCTGGATTGTCAGCTTTTTGAAGGCTGAATGTTCGCCCGCTTTATCAAGTCCAAACCCAGGCAAGATGTAGGTTTGGTTCTGTCAGACCTCTGGGGTTTGCTTGAGTCTCAACCATCTAGTTGTTGATCTGTGGCAAATTTTGCTTATTATACAAGCTGCAAAACAGCATAATGCTGCCAACACTGTGCTTAAAGGTACGTACAGCGTTCTTAAGAATCACGTTAGCTCCTCCAAGCTTCTTTTATGCCTTTCTCTCTCCTGACCATAAAGCGTTTGGTTGATTGGTTTGTTGCAGGAGAGGCTGTTGGTTTAAAGGAGGGGTTGTCAGTTACTCTGGTGTTCATGCTCCACAACAGCAAAAATTATTAAAGGATATTGATATTTCATGGATTCTTCATAATGGTAGAACCCCAGTTTTTACACTGACAGAGGGAACTTCCTGCTTAGCCATGACCATCAATTCAGGCTAGAAGGCATTTCTTTCAGGTTTTGACCACTTAGTCTAAAAATCTAGGTCATGTTTGCGTATATTTAAGTCTTTATTTATAAATCTGACCCTCAGGCAATTAAAGAATCTAGAAAAAACATGAACTTTCACACCTGTTTTTTTGATAAAAAAAAGCATTATTTAACCATCAAACTGTGGTAAAATAAAGCTTTTTAATAGGTCAATAAAGTCTAGGAACAACAATGCATTCATGCCCATGATGAGAGGATCTAAATGTGGAACCACTACTGTATCTTTTGTCTTCCTGAGCTGTTTGCTTTTCCTCTTATTGCTGCTCTGACCTCTGTCTCCGGAGAGAGAACCGGAGCAGCTCATTCCTCCTCCTTCAGCTCTGATTATTAAACTGGACAGAGGCTCAGCAAGGGATTAAACACATCCTGCCCTCCATATGATGTTTTAAGTGAATTGAAAGCCACACATTCAAAAAGAGACGTGTGTTTTTGTCGCCTTCTGGCCGATGTGTTACAGTAGGCAGGTAAAACCAGGGGCTGAATCTGGACTTGGTGTTGAGGAGGATGGAGGCTGTAATTGCTGGGTTCTGTGTAGTTTCTTCCTCTACTCTAAACACTGCTGTGGCTATCAGCGCGACACACTCGCTGTCGCTGCTGCTCCCTTTGTGGGTGTGGGTGTGGGCATGTTCGTGCGTTGATATCATTCGGGGGAAGCGAGGGTTGAGCTCTTTCCAATTAAGCGAGGCCTCTGAGCGTCGAGTTAATTAGTCGAGGAGAAAGATGAACACCGAAGTGCCAATTTACTCTGGAATGCCGATATGTCTTCCTGTCTTAGACACACAGATAAATGCAAACAGAAAATATGTCAGAAACCCAGTTTTAGGACAATTCTTACACTTCGTCTTTCCCTTTCACTCAACTGTCATCAGTAAACACACATTACCACACGTACATGACATCATTTTTATGAATCTAGTTTTGATCAGAAAACAGACTGTTTGCCAGCAGCTGCATCTACATCATATGAGATGTTTGTTGCTCTTTGAAGGTGCAAATTCCCTTGAACACCAGAGCTGAACCTTCGGCTGCGGTCTGAGCAGCTGCTGTCAGAGGAACAGTATTGATCTGCAGTCATGCATCGGATGTTTACCATGTATGATAAATAAAACATGTAGCTGTTTTCTTATTCTACCGTCCTCTGAGCTATACTATCCGAAGCACTGTGCCTGTATCCTGCAGGTTTACACTGATGTTTTTAACCAAATGTCAGCAGTTGAAGATAATTCTGAAGTAGAGGTGCAGCTTAAAATTTTTGCACTCTAGAAAGGCTTTGTGTTGCATAATGAAGCTCTTTAACACAATTCAAAAGCAAAAATAACAAAGTGTTTGAATGGAAAACTTACTGTTTGACATTTAGTAACCAGGAATCTGTTTAGGTTTTGGAACGAGGTAGAAATGGAAGTAGTGATTATGGCCATTTCAGCAGAGCCGGCCTAATGCATAAGCAAACAGAGCCTTTGCACACCCTCCTCTGACCAGCAGAGGACGCCACAAAAGTTTGACATAAAACCCAGAATAGGCTTATGTTTGGAAGTATGATGGCCGTGGCAAGTGGGGGTGCTGCAGCATCCCCTAGTGGCGAGAGGGAAATTAAAAAAATTATCTATTTAAAATACTTTGCAGAATTTATAGATTTCTTATGAATATTTTGGGAAAAGATTTTGACTTTTTTTAAAAATAGTAATTTAATTATTTTGATGCCTATTCAAAACAAGTTCCCGGAGGTTACATTGTCAATGTCAAGCAAGCTAGTGGTAACGGCAGCAGATTAGTAGATTTACTTAGTCTAATGACAGAAACAAGGAGGAAATATGGCACAGAAACTTATTTCGGATTTGTCCGCTCATGAGAGACTTTATCTCCACGACCCCAGAGTGCACCTCAACATTTGGATAGCTTTAACCAGGCAGGGCACCCTGCCGCTAGCTCAAAGTAAAAGCAAGGTGCCGCCACGCACTTTAATATTTATTCGTGGAGTTTGACGTAACTATAGTATTTAATAGAGTGTTATTTTGATCTAGTGTTATTTGTGTAATGGATGTGGGGAACTGTTCAATAACGTTATAATAGTATAAGATGATTATTTCCTTGTGGTTTGCGTTAAAGGATTTTGGAGCTAATAGAGTTATGAGTGACATAAAAACAGTTTCTCGGGTTCATGCCAGCTGACAAAATCTATGTTTTTATAGTGTTATTGTGAAGTTTGATAAATAGCGCATATATTCACCTGAGAACTGATGATGATGTGTGTGTGTGTGTGTGTGTTACAGACCCTGGTTGCGTACACTGAAGTGTATAGGACAATAAAGTAGTGAATCTTAATCTATTTACCTATTTATTTTTATTGTATTTTAAATAGGCTCATAGGTCTTTTGTCCAAAAAAAAAACTTAAACATTTTCCCTGCACCCCCTGTTCAAAATTACTTCCAGTGGCCCTGGGAAGTACTATTTCCTGGTTAGACGTACAAGGACCTTCTTATGTAGTCAGATTTACAAACTAGTATCCATTGATGCAGCAGGAGGGGGGCTGAACAGATTTAAAGCACTTATGACGCATCTCATTAAACCAAAGAAAAGACAACTCTGCACATTTGTTTGTAAACATGTTCCTTAAGTGTCATAAAATATTATATTGCCAATGCATTTAGCTCTATGAAATAAACCAAATCTCACTGGTTTCCTTACTTTCAACCAGAATCTCATGGTCAAACCTGAGCTCTGACCTCAGCAACAAAACAAATACATCACTATTTCTTGATTTCGGAGACTCTGTGCTTATTTCATTGGAACAATCTTGGTTCCAGAAATTATTTATCTTCAAAAATGGGTTCCCAAATTATTAAATTCTGATAATGGCTCAGTTGTCCCCTTAAGGCAGTATTTATGAGGATATATTATGTTTGCACAACTTTATGGACTTCGTACAAATAAAGTAAAAACAAAAATGTTTACATGATCCAATCTATACATTTTTAACCATATCTCTACTTGAATATTACAATACTTTAAATTGGGTTTTACAGTAAAAATTCAGAGCTGAAGTGTGAGACCTGTTGGGTGAAAGAGCATAAAATGTTGAGGTTTGATGCATTATAGGAATTATATATGTGAAGATAAACTATAGGCAGGAAAAATCATTTAAATCAGGTATTTCTGAATAATTCAGTTGGAAAATGTGAAGTGAGTGCGATAATCTCACTTTGGTCTGATTAAAAACATAAACTTTAAATGTATAAAAGCTGTAAAGGATAAAACTCAGCCTTTCATAACTGATTTTAAACATTGTTGCTGCTTTAAATTTTATTTCTCACCACATGATCTCTCGATGGTCTATGGGCCTTTGTTTTTATTTTATTTTTTTGTAAATATAATAAAGGGTGCGGACTTCATTGTACATTTTGCCTGATCAGATCATCACTTTGCTTTCTGCAAATCTAAAAACAGAACAGAATAAGGCGAGAAATGGTTTTCTGTTGCTACTCTTAGTATTAAATGGCAAAATTAATCATCAAAGAATCCCTGAGCTCTGCAGTAGTGAAGGAAAACATGGCGTCGTTTCTATAGTTTAACATTCAGCTCCCATTTTCTGCTACATTTTATTGTTTGTATCAAACCCATCGGTGTAACAGAACCATCATTAGATGCTGCAGTTATTCAGCAGAAAATCCACTTTTGAAATCCTCTGGTATATGAGACGAGTAGAAAGCAGGCTCAACAATCCGT